TTTCCCTTTCCTCCATTTAATGGAACCCTCCAAAAGGGTCTCTCCTACTCCATATATGCTTTATATGCTTAATATGGGTGCATATAACAGAGAATTGCCTTTTTCTAGGCTTTGTTTGGAAATCAGATATATTTTTGGCAAGAATTCTTCATGGGCGATGTTTTGTACTTCTAATTTTATCACGATAGGAGACATGAAATTTTGGTTGCCTTTCTTTTAGTGCCATAAAAGTTAATCAGTTGATTCCTGTGCGGAGAGTTGCATTCACACATAATAAGGTTTATTACTCACCAGCCTTGCACTTAATGGTTTTAGTAGCCATTGATGACTATTGCCTCTTTCCATTATTTCAGTAGAGTTACAGAAGTGACTCTCATTCCTCCTGCATTTATTAGCTGGAACTCTGTTAGATAGAAAACCTTTTTCTCATCAGCTATTTGATTACCCCGAGCTACAGTTTATCAAAAAAGGCAGGATAAGTGTTGATTTTTCCCCCATACAGTTGATCCTCATTATTTATGGATTCTATATTTGCAAATTCACCTACTCTCTGAAACTTATTTGTAACCCCAGAATCAATAGTCCTGGTGCTTTCAGTCATTCACGGGCATGTGCACAGCAGTGAAAATTTTTAGTTGCTTGATTTGTGTGTTCCCAGCTGATGTCACATAAGGTGATGCAGTGCTTTCGTGTTTCAGCTCTCAGACTAGAGTCCTTTTCACAGTCTCTTTAGTGCCATGTATTTTTGCATTCTTGTGGTTTTCGTTGGTGATTTTCCTGTTTAAAGTGGCCCCCAAGCATAGTGCTGCAGTACTGTCTAGTTTTCCTAAGTGCAAGAAGGCTATGGTGAAGGCATGCAGAGAAAATAACGTGTGTTAGATAAGCTTTGTTCAGGTGTGAGTTAGAATGCTGTCGGCCATAGTTAAATGTTAATGAATCAACAATATATACTAAAGGTGTCTTTAGACAAAAATTCATATAAATCAAGGTCGTGTGTTGATCAGTTGATGAAAATACATGACCAGAAGCTTGTAGGAAAGTAACCCTGTATTTCCTCCTCATTCAGTATTGCTAATACAGTTTTCTTTGCAATTTTATAGAACATAACTGCGGTGAGTAATGAGAATCAGCTGTACTTACAAGTTCTCAAAATTATGAGTTGCTTCTCTAGCATTCCCCAAAGCAGGGGTTCTTATTGAAGGGCAGTTGTGTCCCTGGGGGACATCTGGAATGTCCAGAGGTGGTTTTGATTGTTACACTTTAGGGGGAGAGGGTGAGTGTGCTACTGGAATTTAGTGAGTAGAGGGCAGAGATGCTGCTAAACATCCTGCAGTGCTCAGGACAGTCCCCCCAACAAAGAAGTATCGGGACCAAAATGTCAAAATACTGTTAGTGTTGAAGTTGAAAACCTCTGCTCTAAAGGTGAATAATGAGCATTTTCTAAGTATCACTATGAACTCAGTGGTTGATCTGTTTCAATTCATTTAAGTTATTTGTTAAGATTATTCTTTTAGAAACTTTCAAACATATAAAAAGGTAGAGAAAATTCTCTAATGGATTTGCACTCACGTATCACTCAATTACAGTGGTTACCAGTTTATGACCAATCTTGTTTCCTCTCTACCCCCATCCTCAACCTGGATAATTTTGGAGCAACTCCAAGACATCATATTGCTTCATCTGTAAATGTATCAGTATATTTTTCTAAAGAATGGCAACTCCCTTTTATAAACATAACCAAGTTGTCATTATCACAATTAAGAAATTATTTAATATCAAATATCTACTCAATATTCTCATTTTCCTCTTGTCTTACAGATTTTTAATGTAGTTTTGAAATCCAAATAAAGCTCATACATTGCAGTCTTTCGCTATGTCTTTGTTTCTTTTAAGCTATAGATTTCTCACCATCTTTTTTTCTTGTAATTCTTCACTGGAAACACTGATTGCTTTGTCTGAGAGTTTTCCACTTTCTGGATTTTGGTGGAGCCCCAATGGTGCCATTCAGTGTTTCTCTGTTGTCTGAATTTCCTCTTAATTGGCAGTTAGATCTAGAGGCTTGCTCAGATTTAGGTTCTGCTTTTTGGCAAGAATACTTCCTAGATGGTGTTGTACACTTCCACATCAGGGGGTACACAATGTGCAGCTCATTCTTTTGGAGTTTAGACTGTGCCATCCATTATTAAGTTCTTAGTTAGCCTTTCACCTAGGTTTATCACCATTGATGATCATTACTTAAATCTGTTCATTGCATAAGGACTATAGCATGGTGATATTCTGATTCTGTAATTCCTTCCATCATTATCAGATGGATTTCCTCTCTAAATAAAAACGTTTTTTCATCAACTATTTGGCAACCCAGAATGTCAGTTCTTAAAGGAAAGGTGGGATAAGTATTGATCCTTTCCCTTTGTTTTAGAATGAGTTACCTCTCTAGCACCCCCTAAAGGTTTGCTTTTTAAATATTATCATAAACACATGGAATTCTAACAAATTTCATGTGTTTCAATCTTTTGCATTATTCTTCTTATAACAAGTTGTCCAGTCTTTGGCCAGTGGGATGTCCTTCAAATCAGCTGCTGTCTTTTTTTTTTTAATTTTAATTTTTGGCTGCATTGGGTTTTTCGTTGCTGTGTGGGCTTTCTCTAGTTGTGGTGAGCTGGGGCTACTCTTCATCGTGGTGCACAGGCTTCTCATTGCGGTGGCTTGTCTCGTTGCAGAGCACGGGTTCTAGGCGTGCAGGCTTCAGTAGTTGTGGCACCTGGGCTTAGTTGCTCTGCGGCATATGGCATCTTCCCGGACCAGGGCTTGAACCCTTCTCCTCTGCATTGGCAGGTGGATTCTTAACCACCAACTGCTGTCTTTTTGACATGACTCCAGTAGCCTTTGAAAACTCCTTTGGCATGACAAGATGTTTCAAGCCCATTTTGTGTATTTCCTACCTGTGACCTAGAATCAGCTGTTTCTCCAGGGAGCCCCAGTTCTCTTTAGTGACTATTTAGAGACCACAATCTGGGTACTAGAGGCACTTATTGCTACTAGTTTGGTCCTTGTTTCTAGACCTTTAGTGAACAGAGTAGGAAATGTGATTTTTTTTCCTAAAAGAAAATATGAATAGAGCTATTTTTAGTTCAAAATTAGGATAACAAGGTTTTTACTTTTTTGACTTTATATTTGTATCTTGTTTTCTTTAAGTTGAAAATTTTGGCTTCTATGACATTATCACTTATTTGTTTTATGCTGCTATGTATAATACTTTCAGTGTAGCAATGATAATATTGCTACTAACAGTATGATTGCCTGAAAACAGTTCAAGCTGTCTTTGTAATTCTTTTTGTCCTTAGGACGTAGCCTACTAGGAATTTACAGTCATATTCCTCTATTCCCAAGAACACTGGAAAGAGTTCTTTTTATGTGACCAAGCTACCAACTCAGTAGGTTTCTTTGTTTTATCTTGCTTTTGGTTTTCAGTGATTGCTTTGTTAAAAAATTTTATATATTTTTTATACTTATTAAAAAAATGTTTACATGGTTCCAAAGTCAAAACTATAAAACAGGGAGCATTCAGGGAAGTCCACCTCCATCCCTGTCACCTCCACCCTGTTTCTTTCCTCACTCTTTAGGTAACTATTTGTATTAGTTTTTGGTTTATTCTTCTACAGTTAGTATTTTCAATATAAGCGAACACTTTATATATCATATTTTCCCTTTTATTACAGAAAAAACCCTGCTTACTGCATACACTGTCCTCTATTTTGCTTTTTTCACTTGACTGAAATCTTGATCACTCTATAGTAGAGTATCATGATATTCCTTATTTATTTACTTATTTTCTTGGAGTTGCATAGTACTCCTTGGTGTGGGTAACCCTAACTTTATTCAAGTAGCCTTCTTGTCTTTGTCTGCTCGGGCTGCTATAACAAACTAACATTGACTGGGTGGCTTAAAAAAACAGAAATTTATTTTCTCACAGTTCTAAAGGCTGGAAGTCTAAGATCAGAGTACCAGCACAGTTGGATTCTGGTGAGGACTCTCTTGTCTTGTTGCTGGCCACCTCTCTTTGCATCCTCACATGGAAGACAGAGACAGAGAGCAAGCTCTCCACTGTCTCTTCTGATACGAGCACTAATCCCATTATGAGGGTCCCCCTCTTATAACCTTTTTCTCTGCCTAATTACCTCCCAAAGGCTCATCTTCAATACCATCACATTGTGGGGGGGGGCCTTAGGGCTTCAACATAGGGGGGCATATAAAGTCTCAGTCCATAACACTCCTGTTTTAGTCTAGTAGGACTGCCATAACAAAATAACACAGACTGGGTAGCTTAAACAGTACAAATGTATTTTCTTTCAGTTCTGGAGGCCAGAAGTCTACAATCAAGGTACTGTCGGGGTTGGTTTCTGGTGAAGCCTCTTTCTGGCTTGTAGATGGCCACCTTCTTGCCATGTCCTTACAAGGCCTTTCCGCTGTGTGTGTGCATAGAGGGAGGGAGAGAGCCCTCTCTTGTTGGTTCCTCTTCTTATAAGGACACCAGTCCTATCTGATTAAGGCCCCACCCTATGACCTCACTTAACCTTTTTACCTCCTTGTAGACCCTATCCAAATACAGACACATTGTGGTTAGGGCTACAACATAGGAATTTAGGGGGACACATTTCATTCCAAAACACCTCTTGTTGATGGACTTTGACATTGTTTCTGATCTTTTGCTTTCACAGATGGCACTGCAGGAATGACCTTGTACCTATGTCATTTTGTCTTTTTGCCAGTCTGTCTTTGGAATCTATTCCTAGACATGGGCTTCCTGGATCAAAGAGTAAATGCACATGTTAATTTTGCTAGGTGTTGCCAAATTGTCTTCCATAGGGATTATACCATTTTGCATTCCCAGCTACAGTGTATGAAAGAGCCTTACAGCCTCACTAACAGAGTATATTGTCAGACTTCTTGATTTTTTTCCAAGCTGCTAGGTGAGAAATGATATCTTAGTGTAGTTTTAATTTGCAATTCTAGTAGGAGTGAGGTTGAGCATCGTTTCAGATGTGTAAGGACTGTGTGCATGTCTTCTTCTGTGAACTGTTCATACCTTCTGTTAATTAGTTGGCTTGGTTACAGTAGCAAATGACCTCAATATAACAATGGAATTCTATAACAACAGATTTATTTCTCACTCTCATTATCCAGCCCCTATGTGGAACATACTGTTACCACTGCAGAGGGAAAGA